TGCCCGACCTGGGAATCGAACCCGAGACCTCTTGCCCGGCAGTCGCACTTGCGACCACTCGGCCAATGAAGCAGTCAAAATATCATAATAATATATTATTTTAAACTTACCCTTAACCGACGAGCATGCATGAAAAGACTGTTGACTGTTGATGAAGCGAAAGAGGTATGTAAGAATCGTAGCAACAATTGGCGTTCTATAGTCTCCATCAGCACAGATAGCGCGGTAGCTGGAAAACTGGTAGTCGCGCAACGTGTAGCGGGTTCGATTCCCGCACGGACCTACTTTCTAGGTGATCCAAAAATTTTTGTTTCAAGACTTAACAAGAGGGTTGCTCGAAGTGCAGGAGTAGGAACGGGGTGGTTTTTAGTCAGTAGGAGTCTGACACTCCCTCTCGCCTCACCTGGACGGGAGAAGTACCTGAGTGATTTTCGCCCCTCAAAAAAAAGGTCTGTGTGGCAATGTGTCTACGAAATTGTATGTTTGTAAACACACGACACAGGAGAAAATCCTAGTGTGGAGCATGGTTTAAAAAAATCTTTAGCTCAACTTCTTAACGCAAAGAATTCTCGAGATGGAAATACTCACCCATCTGCAAACCAACCTCAGCCAGCTTAACCTATTATAAATCTAAGGCCGATAAGCAACTAGTTGCTCCGTTTAAATCAATACTACTCGTGGTGGTCCGAGGAAGCCTTATATGATGTAACCTATTTCATTTGGATACCCAATTATGTCACAGTGGCCTATAAGCTACGGAATCCGCAGAGACTATTACTGGCTATATTAATTGTAGTCCACACTGGTGGACTATGGGTCTCTTCTACATAGGAGAGTTTTGCCATAATCTCCTTGCTTTTATTTGAGGGTTAAAATCATCCAATGACTTCTCCCGCCCGGGTGAGATAAGAGGAAGTGTCAGACTCTTACTGACTAAAAACCACCCCGTTCCTACTCACTCATGCATTTCGAAGCGGAGCCCCGGCAACCCGTTAAGTCTTCCGCGGCATAATCTCCTTGCTTGGTAAAGAGGTGGGAGATCGTACTGATCACAGTTTAAAAAGGTTCAGATGTATCAGTAAGCGCTGCGTCTTGACATTCATCTGATAAATGGGTAGTCTCTTAACTCGTCGAGTACCGGTTTTGTAGACACAATTATAGAACAATAGGTTGCGGTCACCAGTGACCGCTTGGTGTTTGACAGTTTAAGCCTATTGCCACGTTGCGTCATTTGACGAATAAGTGCAATCGTCAAAAACGATTAGCGGATTTATATGTTGCCGCTTCGTTGACAGTTTTCATTATGTCTAAGCAAGATGCAAGCATTCGTCATTTGTAGACCGCCTATTGTTTGTTAAGGATGCACGCATCATGACGCAACGTGGACTGTTACCCTTAATTAGCTCGGACATCCTTAGAAAGAGTAGCGGTTGTGATTTTTTCAAAAGCCAAATAAAACTGCCCGCCCTAGATAACAGATCAAATACTTTTTGCTCAGTGGTCAACGATACCGTGTTGATAGTAATTCTAATTTTACAATTACAATCAAGTAAATAAAAGAAACAAATGAATGTTACTTTCTCTTCCATTAAATTCTAATAGATAGTTAGATAATACAATTTTTGCATACACAGGTACTTATGTTTACATTCGACGCCATTATTATCTCAAATTGTTTGATTAACCATCAAACTAATTATTATGTCTTATTCAACACTTCCTCTTTGAGTGAATGGCCGTAACTTGTTACTGACTGTGTGGTCTTGGGTTTAGTGTCGAAGCAACAACGTCACGCTTCCTTCCATTCCACAAAGGAAGATATATACTTAGCAGCACATTGTCGTCAAATGCCTATTAGATCCTAGAGCTGGACTGGGTTTAATCTACAAAACCTGCCAAGCATAGGATCGGTCCGACCTCTGTTAAACGTATAGCCTCATAAATCACGGTAAAGAACTGGGACAATAAGGAACCCTTATACGTGCTGCAGGTCAACGGCATTAGCGGTTAATATGTTAACTGTTACCTAATATTTATCCCTACCTTACGAGAGCCGACTAAGGGACTACACATTTGATAGAAACCAGATAACAGCGCTCTTTGGTAATCCTAAACATTTTAAATTAAATAGGTGTGGGAGAGCCATGCTTCGGCACGAATGGGCCGGCTCGACCGGAGTGATACCACGGCCTCTCAGAAAACCGACGTGAAGCAACGCTTGCGTTGTGTTTCGTCGTGTGAGTCAGGTTACCGAAGCGGAGGCCCAATTACCACGCCTCCCCAGTCTCCACAATCCCCGAATCCTTCACAATTCTCAAATTCCCAATTCGGCCGGTAACGCACTTGTATGCCTCTGGTGTTCCAGGTGTCCAAGGGCTGCGATTGCTTACCATCAAGTGACCCGTCTGCTCGTTTACCAGTTTAGCCCATAAAAAAAAAAACTACGATCTTCAATCGGCCTGCCGAGCGAAGAAATAATAGCAAACTGTTTTTTTATTTTCTAGGTTGACTTCTCTTATGTAGAGGAGGTCCATAGTCTAGTGGACTGTGACGGGCTGTCAATGGTATACAGCATTTTTTATCGTCATTTTCACAAACCACCCCCAAACCATCTCTTAACGTAAACCTAAACTCCCAGGGAGGGAGCACTGGTACCTTTAATTGTAGGTGTTATTTATTGGCAGTTGAAAACGAAAACGCGGTTAAGTTTCACCTACATAAAAATAATAAAATGGTCACCCATCTTAGGATTTCTCTCTTATTTTCTAAGATTATTGAAATACCATTTGCATGTGATGATGGAAAACATCTTGAACAAACCTGAACTTCAAAATTTCAGTAACTTTAGAATATTCATCTCGAACAAGTCCGTCCGAGGTTAAGGCTCATACCTTCTTCATATCTGATGAGGCTCTTGCATAGCAATGGGTACTTTTACTAATGATGATGCTTTAAAACAGTATAATATTTTACTAGCAAGTTGCGTAATCTGACCAAGTATTGCCATTTGCCGTGGGCTCATAATCCCTTGTTTAATTAGATTAAATAATGACACAATATGGAGTGACTAGCGGTAATCTTGTTATATTGTTGGCACAGGTTTGGGTGACGTGGAACCAACGTCTACGTAATGTAATGTCATGTCATGTGTTTTAGGTTTTTGAAGTAACCCTAGAAATATTTTGATGTGAAAAAAGGGGTTTATTATTACAAATCACGCCTTTTGCAGGCAGAGGTGCACATTACGGCACTTAATGCCACGGTACAATGTAACACCTACTTTTCACTATTTATGTTATGATTTCTATGTAATAGGAAGTGAGCCTATTGCCATATACCGGGCACAATTCCAGACTCCATGCTACTACTGAGAATTATTTAAAAAACTCGATATTAACTATGATCTGTCAAACGAACCCGAAACCTTGCCTGTCAGTCGCTCTTGCAACCACTCGATCATCGAGGCAGTCTTATTAAAACAGTATTATTAAAGTCAAAGTCAAAGTCAAAATCATTTATTTAAATTAGGCCAGAATGGCACATTTGAACGTCAACAAAAAAAAATTGAAAGTGAAGCTATTTGCTCATTCCAAGGCGTAGATTCCTATGGAGAAGAACGAGCAAGAAACTCCATAGGTTACTCTTTTTAATCAGGTTCACAATAAAATTTACTAGTTTAAACACCTGGACATAATTAAACGAAAATAAACCAAATGATATAGCAATTAAATTAATAATGAACAGTTTCAATATCTCTAATAGAATACATTTGCTAACGAAGATAGAATTTTGACCAACGCTTTATACAAATGCGTATACCTCTATTTATACAAATTAAAAAACATGAATTCTATATCTCTGGTTAGCAAATCCACAAATTGATAGGTTACTAACTTTTACCCCTGGCTTTGTCCGTGAATTCCTATTTTATCAAATGGGAGCATTTAATCGGGATAAAGTATCCTATCAACTAAGTCAGCCTCATCAAAATCTGTTCAGTAATTTTAGCGTGAATGACGGACAAACACACAAAGAACAAGAATCTTTTACATTAATAATATTATTGTGACTGAGAATGACCGTAGTAAATAAATAAAATAATTATTATATTGTAGCTATTTACAAACTGAAAAGTAGGTCAGTAACATAATAAAATAAAAAATTGTTTATTTTTTCCTTTTATTACTTATCTTTTATTTCTAGAAAATAAAAGTAATAAGATAATTATTTTACTTTTGAAGCAAATGATCCTAATATAATATAGAACCGAATAGGCAAAACAGTACGTATATAATTATTATGATCTGTAACACATTCTAACTATAATTTTATTCTCTTAGATACATTGTTGCTCTGATTTCAAACAGTTAATGCACCAAAGAAGATAATTGCATCAATCTATGCCAGATTTTTTTCTAAACGTGGCACAATTCTACTAAAACCATTATTTTAACTTTGTGTATTATTCTACGCAATATATGCAATAAATCACCGGAACCTCGTATGTACGTACATATGTAAATAAAGAGCTAAAAAACAATACTTAACCTTATCATTATAATTTATGAAACAAAACATGTATCGGGGAGACCTTGCTCGCGCCGCTACAGTACCGATCACATCTACCTTCGATATTTCGCGATTTCCACGAACCAACCAATTTGATAATCGAACATATTTACAGCTCGCATCATTAATTGTTCCCAATTATCTGTAGAATTAGAATGCGCGTGGCTATGCCGTAACTCCGTGCTCGCATCGCGTGCACCACTCCCTAGCAGTGATAAAACTAGCGTGTGTGTCTGCCCAACATTAATACACAGAATGTAACCTGTTTCCATATTATTGGTCATTATAGCCCTCGTACGTGCACTATATAGCGTCGCGTGGTCTGACAATGTCATCTCGTATCGTTTCCGAATGCTTCGCCTGTTACCGGCACATCCCCCCGATCTTATAAAAGAGTGTAGTTCGCGCCGCGCGCCCGCAGTCCACTCCGCGCCTCCGAGCGAGCAACGTCGCCTGTAATGCAATAGTGTGTCTAGTGTGTGCCACTTATCGACATGGAGGGAGCCACCCCTCCTAGCCACGGACTACCCGAGCCTGACGAGGGCATCACCTCCGACCGCCGCCCATCCACCGACGACCATGCCGACCTCTCCGATAGTGCCTCGGACACCGGCTCTGGTGGAGGAAAGGATTCCGGCTGCGAAGTGGCCGCCGAGCCACAGGAACCTCCCTACTCTCCGCCTGACGACGAATTAGCGCACAGGATCGTGTCACAAGTCGAGTTCTACTTCTCAGATGCAAACATTACGAAGGATGCCTTCTTACTGAAACATGTTCGGAGAAACAAGGAAGGGTACGTCTCCCTGAAGCTTATATCCAGTTTCAAACGTGTGAAGCACTTGACGAAGGACTGGAGGGTGGTCGCCGAGGCACTCAAGCGGTCTACAAAATTAGAAATCAATGAATTAGGAACAAAATTACGCAGAATCGACCCGCTCCCAGCGTACGATGAGACGACTCCGTCCAGGACTGTGGTGGCTGTCAGGATGCCAATAGAGCGTCCCTCAGTAGAGAATGTGTCGCGACTGTTCGCAGGGTGTGGCGAGATCGCGTTAGTTAGGGTGCTGCGGCCTGGCAACCCCGTGCCAGCCGACGTGCGCCAGTTCCTCAACAAAAACCCCAGTTTGGTTAATTGTGTGTGTGCCTTAGTTGAGTTTACTGAATCTGAATCTGCGAGGGAAGCGTTACGTTTACAAACCCCTGACGATGATGGGATGCGAGTGTATGAGTTGAACGGTGTTCCTAGGGAGCCTAAGAGGAAGACTCCTATTCGACGGGCGCCACCGCGGCGTCACGAGTGCGAGTACTCGTCGTGCTGCAGCGGCTCCGAGGCGGAGTACGACTACAGATACGGGACCCCATTCTACAGGAGGAACTCGAGTGGGTTCTTCACGCCGCGGGCGGCTGAGATCCAGACGTGGGTGCCGCGGCGGCCGTCCACGTGCAGCCACAGCTCGGACTCGGGCGTGTCTTTCTACTGCAGCTCGCGGCGCACGTCGCAGGCCAGCACGGGCAGCGCCAGCAGCGCGGAGGGCTGGCTGTCGCGGCGGCTGTCGGGCTGCTCGGTGTCGGGCACGGAGTGCGGCGGCCGCCGGCTGTCGTGCGCGCCGCGGTTCGAGCCCCGGGCGCCGCTAGTGCCGGACGGCACGCGCGGCTTCCATGCCGCCGCCCGCCAGCGCCGCATCTCGGACCTCGCGCTCTACTCGCGCTAGAAAGCGCCCGCCAACCGTGACACCTTTCTAATCACGTTGGATAACCGCCTTTCACGTTCTGGCCGCTGGTTTTTTAATCTATTTCGCACGAGGAAGCGTCGCGTGTGTTCCGCGAACGTTTCCCTTGCAGAACAAACTGAGTTACCTTCTCAAACAATGTGATCATGCTCATTTAGTTGTAAGCCACGGAACGCTGTGTCTAGTTTCGTAAATCACTTTACATGTAATTTATTAGGACATTGTATTTATGAATCGCGTAATTTATTGCGTATGCGCGCGCGTCGCGGTCGAGTTTTCATTTCGAGTTATGTCAGAGTTGTGGGCACAAAATGATCACGCAAAATCGACATTCAGGCGATTGTAGACTCTGAGAGGAACATGTTAAGACCAGACAGATGTTTATTGGGCCGGTGTTGCACTGCAGCGAGGCGAGCTAATGCTAGTAGTGCCGGCCGCTCGGCGAGGTGAATAACACGGACATTCCCCTGTACATCGGTGCAAACCTCGATCTGTCAGCTGAGCGGTGTGTCGCGTCGCGTCGCAGGCAGTGCAACCTCGTCTCACTCGGAGTAACAGAGCGCGTACACTCGTAGAATGTATTACATAATGTAATTGCACACATTCTAAACTGCGAACTATTTCCTGTAAAAGTAACAGCCTCTCTTACTCCGAGTAACAAAAGATCCGCGACGCGCTATGGCTAACCTTTTTTCATTTTTTTTACAATTAAGTCATATTTTAACTTAAGTCAGTCGCCATTTGATGTTAACTGTCGTTTTATAATTAAGTCTCGTCGCTGTAAGTACACTGTGATGATTATGTAGTATCGGGTTGCGCAACCTTCTACTTTCTTGTGCGTTCTTTTTTTAATTTATTTTTTTTACTGAGCAGAGGAACGTTACATGCTTGTGACGGCACAACTATTTCGCTTTTTATTTTAAGTGACGTTGTGACTTTTTGATTGAACCTGCGTGCTGAATCTGAGACAAGAGAATAGTTTTAAAAATAGATTATTTTACGTATAAATAGATTTGGTGCGTTGTAAAATTAATTTCAAAGTCACACAACCTCTGTATATTGTAATTAAAGAGATGATTTATTATAAAGATAATGATAATTATAAGATTTTTGGAGAAACTCGTTGTTTTATTGGCCTTGGTCGTGGAAAGTTGGTTCATGATCAGTTTGCCTTGACTGATTGATTCTCACGCTGCGCTGACAGATAGCATAGTGTTACACAAGTCTGTAGAGTTGACGAGAATATCAGAAACGATCGATTCAATGTTAATAACATTTAGCGTTATGCAAATATAACGATAGTCGAGATAATAACTCTTATTAGTGTCAGTTATTTTAATATTCCCGCAAAGATTTGTTCAATATTATGCGAAGCGTTGATTGATTTATTTTTATAACGATTCTCTCTTCCTGTTGTTGTTTATTTGAGTTTATTTACTTGTAATTGAATGTTTATGGAACAATTATGTTTTATTGACGAGGTCCTAATGATATCATTTTGATTTCAAGGGCTACTGAGATTCGCATTGCCTTCCTTGATTAATTGAACTTTGAGTTTTAAAACTATAATTAGGTAGTTATTTGTTTGACAACAATTTTAATTATCATAAATCAACTGAATTAATGGCGGCTTCCGAAGTAGTTATTTGTGTATTTGATTACAGTGCTTAATTCACTATCGGAAAAGACATAACTCGTCCAAATAGTTAATTTTCTGTCATTTATTCAGGATGGAACACTAAATCACTTATATGGTACAACATACTGACATACATATATGTATCAACGTTAACGTCAACAGCTCGAGACAGACCACTGCTCGACAATGGGCCTCGTCTTCATAACATCACATCACGCCGTTTATCCCCTAAGGGGTAGGCAAAGGTGTATAGTATGACACTGTACAATGTAACAGCCACTTTTCACTATTTATGTTATAAGTCCCATCCATGTAAATTGTAATAGGGGGTGAGCCTATTGCCATATACCGGGCACAATTCCAGACTCCATGCTACTACTGGTATTTTTTTTTAAATCCAGTAATACTTTGCCCGACCCGGGAATCGAACCCGAGATCCCATGCCCGGCACTTGCGACCCCTCAGCCAGCGAGGCAGCCTCGTCTACATATGAAGATTTATATGAATTAGGTTAATGATTATTATAGGTGTCGATTAATTGAGTAGTTTTTATATAAAAACATCACGCCTTTTATCCCCGAACGAGCACAGGTAGGCAGAGGTGCACATTACGACACTCAATGCTACTGTAGAATGTAACACCCACTTTTCACTATTTATGTTATGAGTCCCATGTAATAAGGGGTGAGACTATTGCCACATACTGGGCACAATTCCAGACTCCGTGCCACTACTGGTTTTTTTTTTAAACCTAGTAATACTGCGTCCGACCCGTGAATTGAACCCGAGACCCCTTGCCACTCGGTCAAAGAGGCAGTTAAGTAGTTTTTCAATACTTAAATTTGATTTTAGTGGTGTTTGAACTCAAACCTTGGAAAGTGCGAAAATATTTCATCTCTATTTGATTTGCCACGTACCTGTAATGAACATGGAATTACTTATAAAGGACCTAGACCTATTGTCCAAGGTTAAGGACCATTGACCTAACTTCAACCATTTATTTGACTTGTCCATGTGAGAGGAGACAGAGGCCTATATGCCTTGCTAATCTAATCAGTGACGTAAATAAGTTGCACGGTTGGCGCGGGTGGCTGGGCAACTGCAACTGGCTGCCGAACGTATCGCGGGTTCGATTCCCGTACGGAACAAGTCTTTGGGTCTGGGTGTTACATGTACTTACAGTGAACTTGTATGTTTGTAAACGCACCTACGACACAGGAGAAAACCCTAGTGTGGAGCAACGATAAAAACACGCTGGCATGGCAGCAAAATGCCACGGGACCCGAGCAGAAAGGGACCTTTCTCCAGAGGAGAAAGATCTCTTTTTTTACAGGGAAAGGGTGCTCATCCGATGAATTTGTCACGAGCCTCTAACAGTATATTTACGTCACTGCCAGCAATGGGACAGTTATAGGCTGTAGACGAATTAGTTCAGTCCAATCGCTGATCATTTACCATCAGGCGATACGTAAGTTTCGTTGCTACTGTTAGCAGTTTAAAAAAACCTAAGTTCACGTATAATATAACTACGCTCGTGTGTGGTGGTTTCAAATCGATTGTTACCACGTAACAATTAATTACTTGCATAAGATAATCGAGTGCTAGTTACCGGTGGTCTATTAATGTATAGTGATTTTATTCTATGAGAGATTTTTCTTTATTAGTTGCAGTTAAATGGTTATTGGTTGCCATGGTAACGTTGTCAATATAATATTGTTGGACGCCTTGAAGATTTCACGGTTGGTTTGTGTTTGAGATGCGACAGACAAAACCGTTTTGTTTGGGCTTTCGGTTAGGTTTTTTTTTTAAGGGGAAAATCATCGAATGACTGCTCCCGTCTGGGTGAGGCGGGAGTGAGTGTTAGACTCTTACTGACTAAAAACCACCCCGTTCCTTCTCCTGCACGTCGAGCCGGAGCCCTGGTTACCCGTTAGGTTCTATTAGGAAGCTATTGAATGAGTGCGGTTTCAAGTTTGAATGCCGGAACGAGAAAAAGTGTTATTGTTTGAATTTTTGATTCTGAAATATTGATTTCAGAATAAAATTTCAGGTCATACACGATTTTTGGAAATCGTATGACAACCGGAATTGTCATAGGAATTAGATTTTCTGTGTTGCTGGTAACACAGATACAACATCACGCGTTTTATCCCCGATGGGGTAAGCAGAGGTGCACATTAAGGCATTTAATGCCATTGTACCAACCGACTTTTCACTATTTAAGTATGTTATGAGACACATGTAATAGGGGGTGAGCCTATTGTCATATAAGGGTACATTTTAACATTTCCCGAGTCGGGAAAAGTATTATTCCAGTAATACTTTGCTTTTTACTCTTATTACTCTACTTTTATTACTTTGCCCGAACCGAGAATCGAACCTGATACCTCTTGCCCAACATTTACACTTGCGACCACTCGGCCAACGAGGCAGTCTAATGGTAATTAGTAAAATCTATCACCACAGTTTGCTTGACTCTGAAATCTAACCTGCGACACCACCACACTTAACTGGTCGTTGTGTAAACGACCAGTTAAGTATTCAGCCACTACACTTGGCAACTGTCCGTAAGTACTTTCTATTAAGTGAATAGTAAGAAAAAAGTGCAGTCTTGTAGATAATTATCAATTGTTACTAAAGGCTCTAGACAGACGGACCCCATTTCAACGTGGTTGACCGGAGTGATACCACGGCCTCACAGAAAACCGACGTGAAACAACGCTTGCGTTGTGTTTCGTCGTGTAAGTGAGGTTAGCGGAGACCTAATTACTGCATTCGAACTGCAATTTGCAGTTGGATTGTAGTTGACATGCGGTCCGTCTGTCTAGAATCTAAGATAGGTATGATATTTCTCAGTAATGCAAGTTCTAGATTACTAAGAGCTAACGATTACGTCTAATTACTAATTATACTGTTAACTTACCGTTTAGCTATTGTTTATCTAATTGACAGTAGAATGTAGGTAGTTCAGTAACTGCTTTTATTTGCAATTGAGTAAACTAGGAAATTGTTAAAGACAGTATGCAATACCTCCTCACGTCCAGCCGTCGCAAAGTCGTCGAAGTAGCTAAGTCGTCGAAGTAGCCTAATAAGATTGCTTGATACAATCTAGGTAACTAGTCCGAGACTGAAAGAACGAAAGGAAAGAAAGACTTTATTTCACGCTAAGAAACAAGTGGCATGTACAGATGTGTTATTCTATTAGTAGGTACTGATGGATACATGTTCATGTCCCAAGTCGATGACGATTCGGAGTCGCGGAGAACCTAACGGGTTACCGGGGCTCCGGCTCGACGTGCAGGAGAAGGAACGGGGTGGTCTTTAGTCAGTAAGGGTCTGACACTCGCTCCCGCCTCACCCAGGCGGGAGAAGTCATTCGATGATTTCCCCCCTTAAAAAAAAGTCTGCCGTGAAATGGGACCAGTTCAGCATGTGCAAGACTGATAAGACAGGACAAGGGGGCTTACTCTTGAATCCAATTCCGATCGATCGACATTGGTATTGTGAAATTTCGTACTCCCGATATGCAACACTAGCGCCTATTGCATCCATATTGCGTGGATATTGAATGAACTAAATGTTATTGAGTTTGGCTTTATATTCCGTACTCTGAATACTATTTTAACAGTTACGATAAGGGTTGTATAGTTTTGACATTGAATAATTATTGAGATTTTATTGGATTGAAATTGCATTGACATTGAGATTGGTTTCAAGAGTAAGCGCCCTGGACTGCTTGTTCATAGCGAGGAAAAGCTACGATTTGGAAACTATATATATGGAGCAAGAAACGCACAATTTTGTATATATTTATTATTTAAATAGTTTAATATATACTAACATACATACATAAAAACAGAATAATCTTTAAATAACTTATTATACAAAGTTCCCACGCCTCGATCCAAAATAGATGTTACACAACCATTTGTTTTTGTACATAAAGTTATTTATTTTTAAAATTAACCATTTTGACATGATCACTATAAAAAGCGGACACGTACTGAAGCTTCCTCAATTATTAATTTAGGAAATCAAGTAAAGGAGATTAATTATATTTCAAGTCAATGATCATTTTAATTATATAATAATTACTGTACTTACTGACGACGTGGTGATGACACAAATTATGTTTATTAATTGTCAGAAATTATAATATAAATCACTAACGCTACTGCTGTCGCTGGGTGTATAATACCCGACTATGGGATTACACATTTAACAGAAGCAGCAGCGCGGACATGTGGTGAGGGTGGAATATAATTATAAATCACCAACGCTACTCTTCCGGCGGGTATATAATACCCGACTACGGGACTACATATTTGATAGATACAGATCAGTACTTAGCGCTTACTAATAAACCTGATCCTTTTAATAAACTGTGATAGCTCTAACTTGTCTGCCAAGCGTAGAGTTTACGTGCGGTGA